GGTAAATGTACGGAGCGGTAAATGTACGGAGCGGTAAATGTACGGAGCGGTAAATGTACGGAGCGGTAAATGTACGGAGCGGTAAATGTACGGAGCCGTAAATGTACGGAGCCGTAAATGTACGGAGCCGTAAATGTACGAAGTTGTAAATGTACGGAGCGGTAAATGTACGAAGTTGTAAATGTACGGAGCCGTAAATGTACGGAGCGGTAAATGTACGGAGCTGTAAAACAAAACAAAACAAATGTTTTTTTTTTTTCTCCTCTTTGTTTCCACAGAAGTCTCCTGAGTTCCCAAACTACCAGTACTTCTGCAAACTGTGTTCGGTGCACATCGATAACATCCAGGGAGGGTACAAACACATCAAGGAGAAGAGACACAAGAAGAACTTAATGGTGTGGGAAGTTTTTAAAAAGTTTTATTTATTTGTTATTCATCACGATGCTCCTTGCCGTATCAGTTGAATGGCAGCAKATATGGCAGCATAAATTGCAAAAAATCTACCATCAAAATTTTCATAGGAACACACTGAGCCCACCGCCTGAGTCATGTGACCTACAGCGAGAGCTGTCTGGCTTTAAAAATATTTCTTAGCGAACAACGTCTTCCTACAGCCACAATTTTTATGAAACTCAGAAAAAATATATATCAAAACATAGACATTTTTGTCTTCTTTCATCCAATATTTCTGGTTTTGCTGCAGGACAAATGATTTTCTTTCAAAGTGCYTCAGAATCAGGGAAGTACCACTTCTTGTCCTGTGTTTTCAATGTTAAATTTCTTTGACGATGGCATTCAGACACAAAACAACGATTTTAAACTTGTCATATCTCTGATATAAAGCGTGATACAAATTTGACATTTTCCATGAGTAAGATCCAATCTCTTCTGTCGCTCACAGTTCAAGAATTATTTTAATAGACATAGTTTTCACACAGCGGCTGGTTGTCTGAACTAAACTTTTCAGAGATTTTCTCATGTTGAAAGTGTTGTGCTGTAGATCCTTTCTGCTCCTCCCTCTTACAATCAGACTTTCTGATTGGCTGAGGCTGTTGCTGGGCGGATTAGCCTCTGGAGTCAAATAACAAAGAAGAGGTTTTATGTAACCCAACATGGCTCCCAGATTGCTCAGCAGTTTTAAGACAAGCTGAAATTTGGTGAGGTGTTAGTTGAGAGCTAACTCAAAACATTCTGAATGCTAATCACAGGTTTAAGCTAACTGCTAATGCTAATTTWAAAAAAAATAAAAATCTAATTCAGCCGTTTTAAGACTTACAGAGCTGATAACTGGTATATAGACGTAGCCACAAACAAGCTTTGGCAAATTCTGAATTCTAAATAAAAATTCAAGATGGCTACCATAGCTAATTTAAAACTGCAATAACAAGTCCATTTTAAAACACTTTTAGCTGAAATTTGGTGTGGTGGTAGCTAAGAATAATCTCCATCACATATTGAAACCAAATAAAAAATCCAAGATGGCCGCCATAGCTAAGATGCAAACTTGACCATAACTCAGCCATTTTTAGGCATATTTGACTCAAATTTGGGATGATAGTAGATCACAGTGGTCTCCAACAAAGAGTAAATTTAAATCTTTATTTAAATCAAACGGTACGTGGCGAACCCTTTCATTGTTTCTCCAGGAACTATTCTAGTTTTATTTTGTAATTCACACCAAATGGTTTGTGTGCGTCAGGAGAAGCAGGAGGAGAACGAGCTGCTCGCCATCCCGCCGCCCTCTGCCGCCCAGCTGAGAGCTCTGGACGCCGTCGTCATGGAAACCGCCAGTCMACACGGGATCTCAGAGGAGGACTTCGGGGTCCGGAAGGCGGTTGTGTCGAGGATGGATGAGATCATAAAGAGGCACCTGTCAGGTCTTTACCTCGTAGATTTTAAAGGATTTTATTGATTTTTTTTTTGCTGAAAACAACTGATTTTGTCTGATTTTTGTTTCCAGCTTGTTCCCTTCGTCTCTACGGTTCCTGTCTGACCCGCTTTGCTTTCAAAACAAGCGACATCAACATCGACGTCATCTTTCCTTCCACGGTCAGTCTTTTCTCTTGTAATATTCAAGGTTTTTTTTTTTTGGATTTGTTCATTCATTAAAACAAAAAAATATATAACATCTGCCCCTTTTTTCTCTAAAATAAATTTAAATAATAATAATAATAAAGTTGTTTTACAGACTCAAACTTTAAAACAAAAACAGCATCAGGACCATRGTTTGAACAGTTTATGTTGATAGATTCTATCATGTCTTCAATAAACTAGTTTTTATCATCTTTTCAAACATAAATTTTAGCTTTGTGCAGCACATTGTAACGTAGCTGAAATGTTTCCTTCTCTTCTGGTCAGATGACCCAACCTGAAGTCCTGATCCAGGTGCTAGAAATCCTCAAAAACAGATGTGAGTTTGTTTGGTTTTTTTGTTTCCTCATTTCCACAGATCTGGTTGTAAGTTTCAGAGTGACTTTTATTTTTTTATTTTTTCAATTTTAGCTGAATTTTCTGAGGTGGAGTCAGATTTTCACYCCAAAGTTCCTGCTGTGTTCTGTCGGGACCGAAGCAGGTGAGGGTTGTTTTTAATGACCTCTTATCTTGGTTAAATTTTTTTGAATAAATATTTTTCTCATCTAGATGTTTTTTATTGTACGGAGCCTGTAAGGGGACATGAAGGGAAAAAAGTAAAAATGAATACTGACTTACTTTTGCAAGATCCTGCAAACGTTTTTTTAAGATCCCGCAAAAGTTTCTCAAGATTCTACAAAAGTTTCTCAAGATCCCACAAAAGTTTTTCAAGATCCCGCAAAAGTTTCTCATGATCCCGCAAATGTTTCTCAGGGTCCCGCAAAAGTTTCTCAGGATCCCGCAAATGTTTCTCAGGATCCCGCAAAAGTTTCTCAGGATCCCGCAAAAGTTTCTCAGGATCCCGCAAAAGTTTCGTAGGGTCGTACAAAAGTTTTTTTAAGATCCTGCAAAGGTCCCTCAAGATCCCGCACAGGTTTCTCGAGATCCTGCAAAAGTTTCTCAGGATCCTGCAAAAGTTTCCCAGGATCCTGCAAAAGTTTCCCAGGATCCTGCAAAAGTTTCCCAGGATCCTGCAAAAGTTTCCCAGGATCCTGCAAAAGTTTCCCAGGATCCTACAAAAGTTTCTCAGGATCCTGCAAAAGTTCCACATGTCCTTCTACAGGCTCTGTAGTTTGCTTTTTTTAAGAAGGAAGTCATCTTTTTAAGATGTTTTATTTTAGTGTTGTTGTACCAGATATAACCCTGCAGTTTAATCAGACACCATCTCTGCTGCCATAAAATCTAAATCCCGTAGTAAACCTGGGTTTAAATAAAACCAYATCAGTCTCAGGTCTGATTTCCTGCTGGTTTCTCTGTTTTGTTTCTCTCTCAGTGGCCTGATGTGTAAAGTGAGTGCAGGGAATAATGTCGCCTGTCTCACCACCAGCCACCTGGCAGCGTTGGCTAAACTGGAGCCCAGACTGGTTCCGCTGGTGCTGGCCTTCCGCTGCTGGGCCAGGGTAAGCCCGTGACCCTAACACCTCAACTGGAGCGAGTGTCTCTTCAGCCTCACCTCAGATTTTATTGTTTGTTTTTTTAGGAGCCATTTCTGCTCCTTGGTTTACTAATAAAATGTGTCTGGAGCCACAAAACGTGCTACAACTGCAGTTATCAACTGGTGGCCCGTGGGCCACTTCAAGTTTGTTAACCGGCCGATGGGGGTGATTTTATAAAACTAAATATTTGTTGCGAATTTTAACATTTAATATTATTTTTAACACTTTAGATCAAAAGAAAATAGCTTATTTATGTAAACAAGAAAAATACTGTTTATAGTTTACACCAAATTATATAAAAACTACAAAAAGGACAACGGCAAAAGTTCAAAAGTTATTTGTAGCAGCAGAACAGGTTGGAAGATGGCTATTTGATTTTATTTATTGTTTTTTAAATCATCCTACAGGCTCTGACATGTTAGATAAATTTGAACTGAGGTTTTGAAAAAATCCGTAAGACTTGAAAAAAATCTGTGAGATTGKTCTATACGTCTGTATTCCTGCAAAATGACGTAAAATCCTTATAACTTACAGACAATTTGTACAAGTTGACATGTGTGAGTCCTGGATCAGAACCTTGGATCAGTTGAATAAGACGAGATTAAAACCTGGTTCTGTTTCCTGTTTCTGAAATGCAGCTGTGTCACATCGACTGTCAGGCCGAAGGTGGGATCCCTTCGTACTCCTTCGCCCTGATGGTCATCTTCTTCCTGCAGCAGAGGAAGGAGCCCGTCCTGCCCGTCTATCTGGGCCACTGGGTGCGGGGGCACTTTATTATTTAATTTCTATATAAGATATAATGTATATTCTGTTCTACCTTCATCCCTTCAAATGGTGACACTTGTCTTCCAGATGGAAGGATTCGATGTGAAGCGAGTAGACGAGTACCATCTGACCGGCATCGTTCAGGAAGCGTTCGTTAAGTGGGAACGAAGACGTCCCAACACCGCTGAGGGACGAGGGGAGAACCACGGCGAGGCCAGAGGGAACGGCACAAAACCAGAACCCAGTAAATCTGATGCCTTTCATCCGTCAGAGGGCCAGGTGAGCTCGTCTGAAACAATCGTTTAGTAAATAAAACCTTTTTTTAAGCTAACTTCAGCTGCTTCCTTCCAAAGAGCCGTTTAGCCTTGAAGCAGASGAAGGAGGCGTCTCTGGGCCAGCTGTGGTTGGAGCTCTTCCGTTTCTACACCCTGGAGTTCGCTCTGGAGGAGAACATCATCAGCATCCGCCTGAAACAGCTCCTCTCCCGGGAGGTGAAGAACTGGCCCCGGCGCCGGCTCGCCATCGAAGGTGAGGGCCGGGGGGGGAGAAGCGGCCGTAACGCCCGGCGGGAAGTCTCGGGGGGTGAACTTTGTGTTGGTTTCTCTCCTCTTTAGACCCTTTCGCTTTCAAGAGGAACGTGGCCCGCAGCCTGAACAGCCAGATGGTGTTCGAGTACATCCAAGAGTGTTTCAGAGCGGCGTACAAATACTTCGCCGTCCCTCAGAGGAGGAGCGCAGGAGGGACGACGAGGAGAGGGGAGGACGGGGAGACGACGGGACGGCAGGGGACACAGGAGGATGAGGAGTCTGACAGCGATGAGGAAGATGGTTTAGATCTGATGGTGGATGGAAACAAAGCGTCCTCCTCTGACCTGCTGGACAGAGAGGAGGAGGAGGAGGAGGAGGATCTGCTCTACATGTTTGATAAGATGATTTTCACCGGAGGAAAGGTCAGTATTTACATTCATTATTTTTATCTCTCCTCCATCAAGTAAAGTTTATTTCGTCTTTAATCTGTTTTGTATTCCAGCCTCCGACAGTCGTGTGCAGCATCTGCAAACGGGACGGCCACCTGAAAGACGAGTGTCCCGAAGACTTCAAGAAGATCGAGCTGAAGCCCCTGCCTCCGATGAACGACCGCTTCAGGAACATCCTGGACGGGCTCTGCAAACTCTGCTACTGTACGCACTTTTTATTCCTTTCTTTAAAAAATGTTTTAGGTTAAAATGGTCTGCAGGCGGTATTATCCTTTATCGCAATCATTTCTGTAACGATTTATCGTCCTGCAGAATCTGTTCTGGAGACAGTTCTAACATTAATACGTTTTACAGTCCAGATAAATTTGTAACTTTTTTTAACCACGTAATTTTTGTTAACATCTATAAAGCACGGTGGGGTTTTATCACATTAGTTTAAAATGGTCTCCAGACGATTTTATCGTTTATCGAAATAATTTCTGTAACGATTATCGTCCAGCAGAACGATGAAACGATGTGAACACTTTAAAACGTTTCTCTACGATTCAGATCATTGCATTCAACGTGAGTTTATCCATGAAAACGTTCTGCTCCTTCAGCTTTTGGTTTTTCAGCAGTTTCTCACTTTGAGATGTTTAGCTTTTTCTGCCATTTTTTTCCCTCTTTGAAAATGAATGGAGTTGTTTTCAACATCCTTAAAKTGTTTATAAATCTTTCCTGAACTTCTGTACTGTACACCTTTTTGTTTCAAATCTGCTTTTTTTAAAACTCTTTCTGCTGATTTCAGCTTCCTTTCCTTTTTCTGATTTTTTTTAGCTATCATTCTGCTCCTTTTCTCATATTTTTCTCCTAATTTCAACTTTTTTGTGCTTCTTTCAGCTGATTTAAAGTTTTTTGCCTTTTTAGCTAGGCTTAAGCTAATTTCAGCTAATTTTAACTTTATTTCAGCTAAGTCCATGCTAAGCTTCTTACTGTTAATTTAAACAAATGTGCTCTTTCTAGTTTTTATGCCAATTTTTGCTTTTTAAGAAACTTTTAAGCTAGTTTTCTGTTAATTTCAACCTTTTTGTGCTTCTTTCAGATAATTTCATCTGTTTTCTGACTTTTAGCTAATCTTTATCGAATTGAAGCTAATAAATTTTTTTCACCCAAATTCATCTTTTTTGAAATTTACGCTTCTTTCTACTAATTTTGGTAAATTTGTTTCTGTTTTTTGTGCTAGTTTTAACTTTTGTCAGATACTTTAATTTTAGCTATTTTTCTGCTAATTCTTGCTTTTTTAGTTATTTTACAGGAAAATATTATACTTGTTTTTTTTTAGTTAATTTTAGGGTTATAGTGGCCGAGGTAAAGTCAAAGGTTAAACCTTTCTTTAAGGAGGTTTAATTACATATCATCACTTTACAGCTAGACATCAGGATGACCTCCATTAAGATCAAGATCACAAAGTAAAAGGTGAAGGTGACGGGTTAGCCATGCTTCTGCTAGTTTTTTTTAGAATATTGTTTTACTTTTTCTACTTTTAAGCTACTTTTTTGCTAAGATTTACTACTTCTCTAACAGTTTTATTAAACTTTTTTAGCTTCTTCTGCATCTTTCAGCTAAACTCTTTCAGCAGTAAGAGTTCACACTGTGTTTTCACAGGAAATATAAATTGTCCAGTTTAATCTTTAACAGTTTGTGATGTGATTTGTTTGCAGATGAGTTGTCGCCGTCGCTCTTGGAGCAGCAGAAGAGGGAGCAGATCCTGGCCGGTCTGGAGCGGTTCATCAGGAAGGAGTACAACGGTGAGATTGGACTTTCCCTCCCTGCGTTTCTTTATTTATGAAACTCCAGTTAATTCTGAATGTTCCACAGAAAAAGCTCAGCTCTGCTTGTTCGGCTCTTCCAAAAACGGTTTCGGTTTCCGAGACAGCGACCTGGACATCTGCATGACCCTGGAGGGTCACGAGACCGCAGAGGTGGGCAGACGTTTGTTGAAACTCCTTCCTCGTTTCTCAGAACGTCCTCCTATTTACCGTCTCTGTCTCTGATTTCTCACCAGAAGCTGAACTGTAAAGAAATCATTGAAGGTCTTGCGAAAGTATTAAAGAAGCACACAGGTGAGTGAAGCCAGTTCTTGTTGAGTCTGTGGTTTCGGGACAACTGGTGACCCCTCAAACTCTGATGGTCTCTGCAGGTTTGAGGAACATTCTGCCCATCACCACAGCTAAAGTGCCTATAGTGAAGTTTGAACACAGACAGAGTGGCCTGGAGGGAGACGTCAGCCTCTATAACACCCTGGTGAGACCAGGAGACCCTCAGACCATCACCTGCTCTGCGATTGGTCCTCTGATCAGAATTAATCTTTCCATCTTTAGGCCCAACACAACACCCGGATGCTGGCGACGTACGCAGCTCTGGATCCACGTGTGCAGTTCCTGGGATACACCATGAAGGTCTTTGCAAAGGTTGGAGACAAATCAACAGACCTTAAAGTTCCTGTGACGTACATGTCCTTTAGACCTTCAAGTTCCTATCACGTACATGTCCTTTAGACCTTAAAGTTCCTATCACGTACATGTCCTTTAGACCTTAAAGTTCCTATCACGTACATGTCCTTTAGACCTTAAAGTTCCTATCACGTACATGTCCTTTGGACCTTAAAGTTCCTATCACGTACATGTCCTTCAACCCTTAAAGTTCCTGTGATGTATATGTCCTACAAACCTTAAAGATCCTGTGATATACTGTACATGTCCTTCAACNTGACGTACATGTCCTTCAACCCTTAAAGTTCATTTGACGTACTGTACATGTCCTTCAACCCTTAAAGTTCCTGTGACGTACATGTCCTTCAACCCTTAAAGTTCCTGTGATATACATGTCTTTCAACCCTTAAAGTTCCTGTGATATACATGTCCTTCAACCCTTAAAGTTCATTTGACGTACATGTCCTTCAACCCTTAAAGTTCCTGTGACGTACATGTCCTTCAACCCTTAAAGTTCCTGTGACGTACATGTCCTTCAACCCTTAAAGTTCCTAAAGTTCCTGTGACGTACATGTCCTACAAAACCTTAAAGATCCTGTGACGTACATGTCCTTCAACCCTTAAAGTTCATTTGAC